TTCAGCATTCAGTGGCAAGGCCTTCAGCTACCACGGCCTTCAGCTTCATGGAAAAAGAGAAAAAAAATAAAATAACAAAAAGCAAGCAACCAAAAGCAAGCAGTGCAGGCAGACCTGATCAGATTAACCCCTTGGTTTTAAAATATGGGGATACATTTATAAATGCTTCCACTTAGCTGTAGATTTTAAAGTGCCGATCTTGATTTTTGGTAGGTGAAACAGTCAAAAAAAAAAAAGAAAAAGAAATTTAAACACAGTTGATAATCTTAATTTATAAGCATATAGAACTTTCTTCTCAACCATGAAGGAATTCACAGTTTTCCAAGCATACATGGAAAATAATTCTTTTAATAACTGACCATGTACTAGGTCATAAAGCAAGTCTCAGTACGTTTCAAGGCATCTGTACATCATACAGACCATGTTTTCTGACCTTGGTGCACTTAAGCTAGAAGTCAATAACAAAAGCAAATAAAAATCACTGTGTATTTGGATATTTAAAACACATACTTCTTTTTTTTTTTTTTATTATACTTTAAGTTCTAGGGTACATGTGCACAACGTGCAGGTTTGTTACATATGTATACATGTGCCATGTTGGTGTGCTGCACCCATTAACTTGTTTACATTGGGTGTATCTCCTAATGCTCTCCTTCCCCCACCCTCCCCACAATAGGACCCGGTGTAAAACACATACTTCTTAATGCATAGGTAAAGTAAGAAATTGTAATGGAAGTTTAAAGTATATTGAGAACTAAACAATCCAACCTTGATGGAGTACTTTCACCCCATTATAGAAGCTTTGAAGTGTGGTTTTTCATTATTGTTTAGTTCTTAGTATTATACTTTAAAAGCACTTAGAGGGAACATTGCAGTCTTAAATGCTTATATTGGAAAATAAGAAAAGCTAAATATTAATGAACTAGGTATCCAACATAACAAGATAAACATAAAAAGAACGATAGAAGAAACCCAAAGATCGTATAAGGGCAGAATTAAGAAAATTTTAAAACATACAATAAAAATAATTAATAAAACCAAGAGTTGGTTTCTCTGAAAAAACTAATAGCATCGTTAAACCTCTGGTGAAACTGACCAAGGAGAAAGGGAGTTGTCACAAGTAACATCAGGAATGAAAAAAACGGGCATAACTTTATGGCAATACATTTGAAAGCAGAAGAGGGAAAATGCCTTTAAAAATTATAACTCACTAAATTTATTAAAGAAGAAATAGGTATCTGGAGAGTGCCATAACCATTAATTAATTGAATGGGCCATTTAAGATCTTCCCACAAAGAAAATCCCAAGCCTAGATGATTTTACAGGTTAGTTCCACCAAACACTCAAAGAACAGATTATTCGAATCATCTGCAAACTCTCTCAGGGAACTAGCAGGAGAGTGGATACTTGTTCTGTGAGGCCAGTACTGCCATCCCCAAACCAGGCAAGGTTAATACAATAAAATAAAAACTGCAGACCAATCTCACTCATGCACATAGATGCAAAAATCCTAAACAAATGTCATTAAGCCAAATCCAGCTGTTTATTAAAAAAAAAAATTGGTTTCATCTCAGAAATGCAGGGATGATTTAACACTTGATAATCCATACATATAATTTACTTCACTGGTAGATTTAAGGACAAAAACCATAGAAATAGAACACTCGTTTATAATTAACATAAAACAGAAACATCTTGGAAACCAGGATTAAAGGGGAACTTTCAAAGCATTAGAAAAACTCCATTTAAAATCAGTAGTAAGACTGTGTGTGAGTGTGTACGTGTTGTGTGCGTGTGTGTTTGCTATTGTTTCTATTCTGCATTTCACTGGAATTCCTACCCGGTCCACTAAGACAAGAAATAGAAATAAACGGTGTGAGAATTAGAAAGAAGGAACAATATCATTTAAAGATGATATATCTACAGAGAAAACCCAAAGGCATCTCTAGGTAAGTTATTACAAATAATTCGAGAGTTTAACAAGATTATTGGGTTTAAGATCAATATGTAAAAATCAGTTGCTTTTCTCTCTACCAGCAAAAATTAGAAAACACACACAAGGTGACATTTAAAGCAGCAATAAAAATGATAAGGCACTTAGGAATGAATCCAACAGAAAGTGTGCAACACCTATATGAAAGCATTTATGGAACTTTATTGAAAAGGACCTAAACAAATCAAAAGATTTATTTATAGACAGGAGACTCAAGATCAGAAATATGTCATTTCTCCCCAGGTTGTTCTATAGATAGATCCATTGCAGTTCCCATGAAAATCCTAACAGTTTTGGATGAATTTGAAAAGCTAATTCTGAAATTCAAGACCAAAAAACCAAGAATAATGAAGACATTCCTGAAGAAAGAGGAGGAGAGGGAAGAGGAAAAAAAAAGATGGGAGCTTCTCTTTCAATGTGGCAAGATTACTATGAAGCTGTCATAACTGAAACACAGCAGTTTTAATGCAGTACAGACAAATTGACCAATAGACCCAAAGAGAAAGCCCAGAAACGGATGCACACCAAATAGAAATCAGATATGTGACAAAGGTGGTAGAGCACATCATGAGGAAAAGGGGAGGCAGTCCGCCACTAAAACCAGGTTACAGTACCAGCTATCAGCATGGGAGAAAGTAAAACTAGACTCCTACCTCACACCATACACAAGCATCAGTTCCGGATGTCAAGTAGATTTAAATGTAAAAGACAAAGCTTTAGGGGTTTTAGAAGAAAACTCTGACCTCAGGGTGAAAAAAGATGTCTTAAGACACAAAAATCACAGCATTCAATTATGTTAGAATTAAGAAATTATGTTCAACAGAAGACAATTTTTAAAAATGAAAAAATAAGCCACCAACTGGAAGGAGATATTTGCCATACTTAATGACAAAGGTTTAGTATTCAGAATAAGAAATTAACAACAAAAATAATGTCAACTCACTTGAAAATGGGCAAATGACATGAAAAACATATCATTGATGAAGAAACAGGAATGACAAACATGGAGCCCAACTCTATTACAATGTAATCACATTAAAACCATCTTTTACCTCTAGATTGGCAAAAATGAAAATATCTGACAACAGAAAATATCCACAACAGGTTGTAGAGCTATGGGGACAGTGATATGCAGCTGGTAGGATATTATCATGGAGATGACTGCTGTGGAGGACAATTTTAAATCATTGTGTAAAGTGGGCAGTTTGTATACTATACAACCCAATGAATGACTTCAGTCCTAGGCTTATGTCTAGGACGTAACTATTCAAACTGCCAAGTGTGACCCATTAAGGAGCCTTGAAATATTTTTTGTAAAGAAACAGAATAAAATAGAAAATAAAGTATCTCATTCATACTAAGTATTATTTTGTGATAATTGCTTCTGGTACACATGAATATGTGTTAGTGCTGGGTTGCAATGTAGAATGTATTTCTTACAGGAGTGGTGATCAAAGAATCGAAAAACTGTTTCCTTAGAATTATTGCATGTGTGCCTGAGCAGTATACACAAAAATGTCCACAACTCCATTGTTTGCAATAGCATAAAATTGAGGGGAAAAAAAAACACACATCCATTAGCAGGAGACTAGAGCGATACATGATCATTTACCTGCACAATGGAATATTACACCACACTGAAAATGAATGCACTATAGCTAAATGTAACAGTGTCAGTGACCCATAGAGGCATAATGTTGAACAGAAAAAGCAAGTTTCAAAAGACTGTAAACATGATATTATAATTATGAAGTTCAAAAAAGCTACACTAAACAACATAATATTTAGATATATGTACGTGTTAAATATATTTTTAAAACGAAGAGCAAGGTGAATAACCATACAGTGGAATATTATTCAGCCGTAAAGAGAAATAAAATACAAATACATGCTACAATGTAGATGAACCTGACAACATTCTGCTAACTTGAAAGCCAGACACGGAAGTCCATGTATTTTATTATTTCATTTATGTGAAATGTCCAGAATGGGCAAACCCATTGAGACAAAAAGTAGATGAATGGTATCAGGGTCGAAGGGAAGGGGAGTTGGGGGTGACTGCCGACGGATACAAGTTTCTTCTTGGGATGATGAAATGTCTTGGAACCTGAGATCGGTCACGAACGCACAACTTTGTGAATGTTCTAAAAATCACTGAACTGTACAGTTTAAAATGGCAAACTTCCTGGTGTGTGAATTGTATATTTTAAATTGTGAAAAGAACACTTACTATGAGATCTATCCTCTTAACATATCTTGAAGTGTGCAATTCAATATTGTTAATTATGCTGTACAGTGTTATACAGCAAATCTGTAGCACTTACTCATTTTTCATAACTGAAATTTTGTATCTGTTGATTGGCAACTTTTTAAAAGAAGAGCAAGGGAATGATTAAAAATACATATTTTCAGCCAGGCGTGGTGGCTCACGCCTGTAATTCCAGCGTTTTGGGAGGCCGAGGTGGGTGGATCTCCTGAGGTCAGAAGTTCGAGCCTGACCAACATGGTGAAACCCTGTCTCTACTAAAAACACAAAAAATTAGCTGGGTGTGGTGGTATGTGCCTGTAATCCCAACTCCTTGGGAGGCAGAGGCATGAGAATTGTTTGAACCCAGGAGGTGGAAGTTGCAGTGAGCCGAGATCGCACCATTGCATTCTAGCCTGGGCGACAGAGGGATACTCAGTCTCAAAATAAACAAAATAAATAAATAAATACATAAATAAAATTAAAAAATATATATTTTCGGGATACTGGCCACCTCTGGGAGAAAGGCAGGGGGATGGGGTGGAGGGAAATAGAGGTCACTGCAGCAGTCTTTGTAAAGCTCCATTTCCTAAGCTGCTGGTTATTGGTGTTTCTATTATTACTATGCCTCATTATATGTGTGTGTTACATACATTTTTATACATATAAAATACAGTGTAGCATTCAAAGGAAATACAAATGTGAAATGAGATAGCATTAAAAGCAAATTACCGCCTTTTGATAAAGGCTTTTTGAATCAAGGTTTGGGCCTTGACGTGGCTATGGATGCAGTCGTTCTGACCCCTGGTGGCTGAGAGGTGAAGTGCAGTGGTGGCTGCTTGCTCAAGGCCACGGGGAGGTAGGTAGTGACCGTGCTGGGGGCAATCAGGGTCCTGGACTGGGTGGATGTCCAGGGGTTCAGGCCACTGCCGGTTTCACCCCACATGGAAAACAGACCCAGCCTTGGGATTTCCTGGTTCAGCAAAAGCCTCTCTCTCCTCTCTGGCTCTTAACCATGCTCCTGAAGTGTGTCCTGCCATTGAAATCTATCCCTGGGTGCCACCTCTTGGCCCTGCCTCCTGCTTCCACCAGGATAGCCCACCTGGGGCCACCCACCCAGAGACCAGGACTGATGAGCTCCTGAGCAGAGATCTCCGCATCCTCTGGGGAAGCAGAGGCTGGGGTGCTGAGGCTTAGAGAACCAGCCTTCAAACTCCTTTTATTGAATCAAACCATCTTTCTGGAGGATTCTGAACCAAAGCCTGTGGGAAGAGCTGACTTGGGCACTTTTGAGGTGTGATGTGAGGGGCACCTGAAGGAGGGCTGTCAGTGCTTAAGGGCCCAGGAAACCGCAAGTCTCCTCCCCACCTAGCTGGCTAGACTAGAGGGACGTTGGTTTACTGGCCCCATTTAATCTGATATTAAGAGACATTTCTGACAGGGTATTGGCTGTCAGAATGAACTAGAGATGGCGACAGAAGGCCTTAATGAAATAAAGATGGCCACAGAAGGGTGGCCTGTAGAGAAGGACACAGATGAGATACCAAAGTCACGTCCCACAGGCAGTGTGGTGGAGGAGTTACTATGCTGGGTTAGGATCTAGGCCCTGCTACTCACTCTGGTGCCTGTCAGCCTCATGAAGCTTCAGGTTCTCAGCCTGCATTAGTTGTAGTGATTGCTAATTGTACTAACTCAGTTGTGCCAATTGAATTAATAGATGCATAGCATTCTCTAAGAGTCCAAGAAATGTCAACTGGTGGTGGCTCACGCCTGTAATCCCAGCACTTTGGGAGGCTGAGGCAGGTGGACCACGTGAGGTCAGGAGTTCGAGACCAGTCTGGCCAACATGATGAAACCGCGTCTCTACTAAAAATACCAAAAATTAGCCTGGCATGGTGGCACATGCCTCTAATGCCAGCTACTCAGGAGGCTAAGGCAGGAGAATCGCCCGAACCTGGGAGGCGGAGGTTGCAGTGAGCCAAGATCAAGCCACTGCACTCCAGCCTGGGCAAGAGAGTAAGACTGTCTCAAAAAAAAAAAAAAAAAAAAA